CTGTTATAAAAAAACCTCACAGTTAATAGAGAGTAACAGTGCTCAAATGCACTGAATCAATTAGCCTCAACATAATAATAATGACAATTATTAAAATAGATAAGCACTGCTATTCTATTTTTTATGCTTATATCTTTGGTTATATCATATATATTTTCACGATATATAATTTTTGTCAATATTACAAAAGATACAAGATATTACACAATCATGAGAGATATTTATATAATGTGCAATGCATACCTCTTGTAAATACCGGCTCTGATTACTTTGCTTAAGATCATAAAAATCATATGGGGTTGGAAGTCTATTTTCGATATTCATCGACATACACGGTGTCGGATATGTCTACTTAAAAAAACATTCAGCCAATAAGTCCAATTCTTAGTCTATTAAATATTCTTTAATTCGATACATTATACTTTCTTGAACTTAAATGGATTCGGAAATTATGGTCCAAAGCTTTTTTTAGGAAATGTTCACTTACTTTTGCAGAAAAACTGATTTATTACTCACTGTGTTTTAACGTTATTAGCACTTGATTCGAAATGTCAACTTATTTTACAATTTAATATCGTAAATTACCCTGGTATTCTATCGGATCTGATAGCGTTACCCTATATACTGAACTATTAAAAATGGGATGAAAAAATTCAGTAATTGTAGTAGTTGTACTTGAAATAAAATCTCCTACATTTTAAATCTGTGTAGCATTTTCGCATTACGACAGGGATGTTATGCTCTGTCATTTGCTCTCATTTACTCGAAAATTTTGTGTATACGCAGTTTTCTTCAGAGTTACTACTAGTAGCTCGTGGAACAGACCTATTAATTTAAACTGAAAACTAAAATATATAATTCAATAATCGATAAAAACTAATTATTCTATTTTGTAAATAGAATTACAATTCTGAAATATTTTCAAGTTTCAACGTATGTAACCTCATGGTGACCTCATTTGGTCCATAAGGTTTCTTTGCGTTAACTCAGGCACCCATACATCCAACCTTATTCAAATCATTCCAAACAGTTTTTTGTGCTATTGTGATCTTTAGCTTTTAGGTAATCGAAACAGAGTTTACATGACGATCACACTCGACAATTTCGATGATTTTATTGACATTTTCGGCAATTGGTTAATCCAGTGCGTGGTGCATCTTTGGCATCGAAATTACCGCAACAGAATCGACCTAACCAAAATTGCGCATGATTGACTGATATAGTATCAGGACCATAAGCACTATTCACGTTTTAAGCCGCAATACTATTCACAAACATCGATAAATCTTTGCATATAAAATGGATAAAAACATAAAGAAATACGAATACAATTTTCTTAAAAAATATGGTTTTGTTAAAACCAGAGGCGAGGCGTCGAATGGTTCAGAGTGTTCACTGAACACCTTAACAAAGCTTCCTTTTTAGATATTTTTTTATTAGGTAAATAATCTCGCTATTTTGCTACTTAAAATTTTTTATAATAGCTTTTCCAAACAGATTAACATACAAACAAAATCACACATACATTACTTATAATTAATAAAAGAGAAAACACATTCCTCTTAAAATATACTAAGGTTCAGAATAAAAACTGCACCGCGTTGCTTACAAAGCATGCAAATTAAATAACATTCACATTGGGACTATGTTCAATATTGAATACACAACACAAAACATATAAACAAATATAAAAATAAAAGAGAAAACAAGCCCCGCAAATATGTACCTAAAATAATCATAACTCTTAAATTAATGCGTGCGAGCGGTTCAATAAAAATGTGAACCTCCAATGTTATGCAAAGTAAATACAAAAGAGAAAAAAATGACAGCGAAAATCGCTTTACATTTGACTAGAGGTTCAGTCGACGAAATTGAACCCCAAGTTCATACAAAGCGTGCAAATACAATCAAAATCACGATTGCCGTTTTATATGGGCAAATGGTTCAGTAAAAAAATTGAACCGTGCATAGTAATGCATGAGAGTTTCTTACTCTTATGTAGAGGTTGGAAATAAACCAAAAACAAAGTCATTATTGCAATTTTATATTAGCAAATGATAAAAGTAAAGAAAAAAAATTAAAGAAATTTGAAGTGAAAAATAATAATTAGAAATGGATAAATGTGTGATTAAAGATTTGATTCAAATATCTTTTTTTAAATGATCTTCTGAAAAAAGGTTTTAATTCATAAAATGAATAGACCAACTCCAAATATGAAGAATTTGGTACCTGATGTAAAAATTTCGAAATATGTGGTAAGTCGCCGTTTTCCTACAGCTGCAAACATTTAAATAAATTGTTTTGTTGGTCTTGTATGTTATTTGCTTGTAGAAAGGACAAAACTCAGGAGTAGGGGGAATACGTTATAGTTCGAATCCTGTTTTGATCAAATAGTGAACACCTTGTCAAAAAGCTGACGCCTCGCTACTGGTTAAAACTATTATTCATTCAAATTATTAAATATGTATGATAGTTATTCATATTATTGCCTTATAAATAAGAAATAATTTTATCACATAAAAATAATGTGCACTCAAACGTTGTTCAAGATTACTATTTGAAGATTATGACTATATATCCTTAGCTATATAAAGGATTGCCATGGAATGTTTATTTATTTTTTCTTCTATCATCGAGGCGAAATCAATTAACAAAGTTCAGTAGAAAGGATATTAAAATCTACGCTAAACTGATGACATGGCATTGTAGACTCCCATTACCACCCAAAGAAGATAGATGTAAGTATGTAAATCTGCATGTCTATAGACTTCGTAAAAGAAATTTACTACATTCTACTAATATAATTCTAAATATTTAAATTCCAAAAAAGTAGTATTAAAATTGCTATATTAATAAACTAATCAAAAATAGCAAATATATTTCAAAAGGTGGTGTGTTTTTAAACAATTTTTATAAGAAAAATATAATAACTTATGACAAATTAAATTCTTTATGGTATTGTAGATAATTCCTGCGAGATTACTATAGAAAAAACCGACCATACTTAATTCAATAATAAAGGAATCCATAAACGAGTATTAAATAGTCTTTTGATGATAGCAAAGATTAGAAAAAACAGAAAATATAAATAAAAGATAAAAAATGATAAATGATAAATAGATGTGGGCCCATTTAATAGACAATCTTAATAGTCTAGACAAAATTTCTATTCAGAACATATAACAAAATTCTAAGTTTTTTTCATTATGATCATCACATAATTAAATATATTAAATATCCGGTTGGGTACATTTCAAAAATTGTTTTTTGATTAATTATAAATTATATGTGCTTTTTTACTACGAGGTTTTTATTGTAGATAATTATTATTATTTTGTAGATAACATAATTTCAGCAATGATAATTTAATGTTAAATAAAAATTTAATTAATTTTGTGCTGTCATATCATGAGGATGAGGAAGGGCCCTTCCTCATCCGTCGATCTCTTTCTTCATATCATAGATATACCGATACCTTTTGTAATGGATTTAATAACAGTGAAGTCAAGTATAAACTGCATCCACACAGATGCAGTATCCTCATCAAGACAATGATAAGCCCCGCCTAACATTTTCGAAAAAAGCGACGACTTTCTAGTACAGCAACACTGTCCTAACTCAGTTGAAACGAAGATATAGCCATGTGCTAAACAGTTATTTGACACGCATAAGCACTTCAATTTCTAACGTGTGCGCAAACTGCAGCTATACCTTCCATGACATCACCAATTTATTCTCTTGTCCCACCCCACATTCAAATCTCAGTTTAATCGACCTTTGGACGTACCCCTTGAAGTTACTAGGTTTTTTCGTCTTAATCCTGGTTGACACATTCTAACTAATGTAGAATATGGATGGGCCTACTATGATCATATGTCATCATAATAGTAAACGTAGACAAAATTTGCGGGAAAAGAGCGAAAACCTAAGCCCATACATACGCAGTTACCTATGCAAAAATTCAACCAATTTAAAATTAAACAACAAACTAGTTTCCATTTAAAAAAATCAAGATCCAATAAAGATATCTATATGAAACAAATATAATACAAGTACAGCATTAAGGTCATTTGATCTAGCACTACTTTCTCGGTTTTACACATAAAATTGAGAATGCAAAACAAAACTAATGTGTTATGGTAAGTTAAAAAGTAGTTTGCTATGAATTTGCTATAAACAAGTAAAAATTAACTATTATAATTATATAAAAGATAACAAAAAAAACACACAAATAGGAAAAAATGAAATAGTCAATCGAAAATAAGATGATGATATGACTATTGATTAGATTGCTCTGATAACACAACCTGTGTGTGTACTAGAACTACAAGTTCTTAGTGATCTGGATGCAAGTCCCATTAGAGCTGGTCTAAGAACACGTTTTAAAAAATGCTTAGTGGTTGTGTCTTATGAATAGATCTTCAAATACTTCTATATAGAGGCAAACAACCAGTAGGTCTAGTGATGGCTTACGACCAACCAGAGTAACCTAATCTAACCATTAACTGAAATGAGTGATTTTAATTTAATAATAACTTAGTTACATATATATACAATCCCAAAAAGACATGAATGTCTATTTGTAAAAACTAGGATGAAATTCTATGTTTTGAAATACTTTTAATTCAAAGATACTAGACACACGTAAATTCCAGAATAAGTTTATAAATATATGAATAAAATAAATAATTGTGAAAACAAATGTTGACGTCTTTTAAAAAAAGGAAATATAGAAAAACATTTCTGTAATTGCATTAAGTCTTAAGTAATTTGCTTTTCATATTGAGCCGTAAATCGGTTTTTTAGTAAATTCGATATTGAGTAAGTTTAAATCGTTCTTCAGTTCGTTCAGGTTCTTGTAAAAAAAACTTCATTTATACTGATGTTTGTGGTTACGTTGTCTTCGTCTTTGGCTACTATAGTTGTGGTCTTGTCTAAGTTTAACATATTTCTATTCTTATTCTCATATTTCTAATTCGCAATTCAATTTTTTTTTTTCGTTTTGCTATAATAATGTGTCCAGTGTTAGTAAGTTTATTGATTATTTTTTAGTTAATTTGTTGGTATTGTCTGTGAAAGTAAAAAAATAATTATTTACATTAACCCACAATTAAAATCAAATATGTTAGCATAAAAGATATATATGAAAACATATCAAAAATATAAAATATTACATATAAAATAAAACATATACATATATAACTACATTATCTATAAACTTTTTGAAAAATCCGACATAAATTTTTTTTCAACAAAATATATTACAAACTCACATTCAGTTGCTACGTAAACGTTTTCTATGGGCCTCATCACCATAATTGCGTTCTTCAGCTTCTAAAACCTAAAAGTATTTTTTAGTAATTACATTTTCTCTCTCTTTGTGTATAAAATATTCATTAAATATTTCATTACTTTAAGTTTAACTCCGCAAATTTCTGCACCGTGAAGGACCTGTATGGCTTGTTGAGCGCTGTCTTTGTCAGCGTACTTAACGTATCCACAGTTCTTATTAGGCAGCATATAGATATTAATCAATCCTTTCCAGCAACTGAATACATTTTTTAGTATGGATAAGGGCACACTCTTTAAAATACAATAGACATATTAAAAAAAACTTGCGACTTTCAATAACCAAAAACTTAATACTCACTCCAGCCAAAACAATAAACAAACGTTGTGCCATAGGTTCATTTGGTGAAGCCATAGACTGCATAGGAGGCAACAAGACATTAACTATGGATTCGTTATTAACGCTCTCTAAAAGATATCAAAATTTAGTTTTCAAAAATTTACTGTTTCAGTTTTTGCTTTTTTACTATCTATGAATGATGTTTCCATTGATGCGTATTGCAATCCGGCTAATTTAATAATAATTCGCTCTCCAAGAGGATATTCCAATCCATGCAATTTTTCCCTAAGTAAATATTTATAAAAACTGAAGAAATCTCAGAATATATCACTTACTTGGCATAAGCAGCTGCTTCTGCATTTTCATACACAACCTTAGCTTCAAAAGATTTGGGTCTAACTGATAGTAGAAAAATAAATTTTTAAATTCAGTAAAATCAACTAATTATAATTATAAATTATAGTATTAAATTTATTAACGATAAATTAATAAAGTGAAATGTACTTCTTTTCTATTTTCACATCAGATATATATATATAATAAATTCTTTAAATTAGTATATAAATTAAAAAAGAATTATTCAAAAATAACTTAAATAAAATTAAGTTATGTTTACTGAACCGACCATATAAGACCCATAGATTAAGATTTCATTAAAAAAAGTTTTCCTTTAGTGTTTGTATTTATATGGTATAAGCAATATATTCAAATTCAAGCATTTGTATTATTTTATTGGGCACAAATAGAAAACCTTTATAACAAAATTTGTTCAATATTTTTTTTAAATGTATAACTGAATCACCAATTTGTTCGAGTTTAAATAAGCCAAACTGATTAAGAATAAATATATTTGCTGTTATTTCATTATTAATAATAAACAATAATTAAAAATTTATATTCGTAAACTTACTCTCTTTAGTAAATTGACAAGATTCCAAACCAGGGATAATATCAAATAGACGCCATAATTGATCTTGATTAACCAGATTACTGACAGTAACTTCCAAACATGTTGGTTGATATGCAGAAGATCTCTGCATGTTACTATTAAAATCTTTAAGCCCAGAAATATCGTCGTTAGCTCTACCGTAATGATCACGTTGTGTTCGTGTAGAACCTCTCGGTTCTG